CCACCCCCAATAGCTACCCAAAAGATGAAGAACTTAGGGATAAATCTAACCAGAGATACAAAAGACCTATACAAAGAAAACTATGAAATACTACGAGAAGCCAAAAGAGACCCACATAAATGGAAGAATATACCATGCCCATGGATAGGAATACTTAACAATACTATGCAAAACAATCTACAGATATAATGCAATCTCAATCCAGATTCCATCATCATGCTTTAGAGAGGTGGAAAACTGAATCACCACTTTATATGGAAGTGAAAGAGACCAGAAAAGCAAAATACTACTAAAGAAGAGCAAAGTAGGAGGCCTCAAAACCTACTGGACAGTCTTGTTAGTCAAAGGAGCCTGGTATTGGTACAATGACAAACTGGCAATGAAGTGAAACTATCTCTCTTTGAAGATACATAGACCAATGGAACAGAATTAAGAACCAAGAAGTGATGTTATCCAACTATAGACAGCTGATGTTTGACATAGGGCCAAACCCATTAAATGGGAAAGAGTTCATCTCTTTAACAAATGGTGCTGGCAAAACTGGATATCCATTTGCACAAAAATGATGTAGGATCCATGTCTCTCATCATGTACAAAACTAACTCAAGATGGATCAAAGATCTAAATGTAAAACCTGAAACTATAAAGATCATCAAAGATAAAATAGAGGCAAACTTAGTGGCAATAATACATGGCGTAAATACATAATCAAACATAACTAAAAATGCACAAAAAGCAAGATACATATGAGATGATTAGGACATCCTAAAAAATTAAACACTTATGCATATCAAAAGACTTCATTAAAAGTAAAAATAGAACATTTTTATGTCATTTGACAATGACATATCAGAAAAGGGACTAATCTCTAAAATTTATCAACACTTCAACAATAAGACAAAAATCTAATTAAAAAATGGGCAGAAGACATGAACAGACACTTCACCAAAGAAAATATTCAGGCAGCCAACAAATACATGAAAAAATGCTCCCAATAATTACCCATTCCACTGCCATCTAATTGATTCTGACTCATAGCGAACCCATTGGGTTTCTGACGTAGTAGATCTTTACGGAAGTAGATTGCCCCATCTTTCTTTCATGGAGCAGCTGGTGGGTTTGAACTGCAAACTTTCTTGTTAGCAGTCAAGTGCCTTAGGCACTGTGCCACCAGAGCTCCTTAATTACCCATTGTTGTTGTTATGTGCCTTGGAGTCAGCCGACTCATAGCGACCCCACCTTGGATTTCTGAGGTGGTATCACTACGGAGGTAAATTGTCCAACCTTCCTTCGGGGGAGAGATACAAATGAAAACAACAGTGAAATACTACCTCACCCCAGCATTAATAGTGAAGTTGGGGGAAAAAAAAATGAAACAGGAAACAACAGATGCTGGCTAGGGTGTGGAGAGACTAGAACCCTCATACGATGATGGTAGAATTATAAAGTTGTGCAACCAGTGTGGAAAATGGTATGGCGCTTCCTTAAAAAGCCAGAAATCTGAATACCATACAATCCACCACTAGGTATATATCCTAGAGAAATAATAGCCTGGCACGAACAGATAAATCCATGCCCATGTTCACCATAGCATCATTCACAACAGCAAAAAGATGGAAACAATATAAGAACCTATCAACAGATGAATAGATAAACTGCAGTATATACACACAATGGAATACTATGAAACATTAAGAAATAACAGTGATTCTGCAAAACACCGCATAACATGAATGAACCTAAAGGACATTATGACGAGTGAAATTAGTCAATTACAAATAGACAAATCTTATATGAGACCACTGCTATAAAAAGTCAAGGAAGGATCTACACATAGAAAGAAACATTCTTTGAAGGTTATCAGGGATGGGAGGAGAAGGGCGCATAAATGATTAACGGAAAGGTAGACATATATTAACTTGGGTGAAGAGAAAGGCAATAAGGGGGAAGTCTGCACAAAATGATTAAGACAAAAGAAGATACTGGGTGGAGTACAAGAGTTAAAGGCAACAAAGGCAAACACTATTACATACCCAATCCTGCAATAACAGTAATAGCAGTAATATACAAGTGGATGTATAGCTAGACACATAAGCTGAAAAGGTGTGGGAAGGTGAATGGGACTACAGCCATGAATATATATCGATTTGACAGAGGATGTTTCTACATAACAACAACATTTATAGTTCACTGCCTTCAGGCTGATTCAACTCATAGCAACCTCTCCTTCGGTTTGTGAGGTGGTATCTCTACAGAAGTAGATTGCCCAATCTTCCTTCTGAGGAGTGGCTGGTGGGTTTGAACTGCCAGCCTTCTGGTTAGCAGTCAAATTTATATGTGTTGCAAATATATCCATGAATATAGAACATACAGTGGGCAAAGTTATGAAAACTTCTTAGCCATAATCAAACACCTTAAGGGAAAGAGTCACTGGACCTGGGTGGTCAGGATCATGTTCTCTGGGAATATCAATGTCTATGGCATACATAACCCACAAAGACAATGTTCCACATCCTATTTTGGTGAGTAGTGACTGGGGTCTTAAAAGCTTGTGAGTGACCATCTAAGGTGCAACTATTGGTTTCTTCTGTCCAGAGCAAAGAGTTAAGAAAATCAAAGACATATAGAAATAATTAGTCCAAAGGGGTAACAGACCATGTGAACCCCAGCCTCCGTCACCCTGAGACCAGAAGAACTAGATGATGCTACCACTGGCCACTCTGACTGGGATCACAATAGGAGGTCTTGGATAGAGGGGGAGAAAAACATGGAACAAAACTCAAAATCATAAAAAAAAAAAAAAGACCAAGCTTAGTGTTCTAATAGGGACTGGTAGAACCCCCAAGACTATGGCCCTTGGTCACCCTTCAAGCTAGGAATTGAGTTCACCTCCATGGTTTAACTTTCAGCCAAACAGTAGACAAACCTATGTGGTAAAAAATAACATCGGAGAGGTAAGCATTATTCAGAACAATCAACCATATGAGATCAAAAGCATGGCATTTGCTCAAAGATATAAAGTTCAGAAGGTAGGAAGGGACAGGGAAGAAGGAATGGAAATGGTACACACAGAGGGGAAGTGGGAAGAGTGTTACACTGTGGGGATTGCATTCAATGTCACAAAACAAAATATACAAATGGTTGAATGAAATACAATCTGCTCTGTAAACTTTCACCAAAATCACAATAAGAAATTAAAAAACAAAAACAAAAGATGAAAAGGAATATTGCCAAGTTGTAGTTAGTCCAAAGAAGGAAAACAGAAGTGTCATAAATGATTATTACATGTGAAGAGAGGATGTGGAAGGACTGGAAGAGAGCAGACAGTGACAAGCTGATGGCAAATTGACTTAAAACTTCTCTCCCAACAACTCCTAATGAGGGATCCTAGCTGCCTTTCTGTGGATACCAATACATAACCATTTGTTCTTTCACAAGATGACCTATCAGTTAATTAAAGAGAAAAATCTGTTTCCCACCTTCCAGGTTTTTGACTCTCTATGGAACTTTTCTAGTACTCAGAACCAGAATCATTTACTGTGAAGTGGATTCTGACTCATGATGACCCCATGTGTGTCAGAGTAGAACTGCATTCCATAGGGTTCTCAGTGGCTGATTTTTCAGAAGTAGAAGTCCAGGCCTTTCTTCAGAAGCACCCCCAGGTGAACTCAAACTGCCAACCTTCAACTGGTAGCCAAGAGCTTCAACAGTTTGCACAACCCAGGGACTCCCTTCCAATGGAGACATTTAAATTGGAGTAGGCTGTCCAGTAACTCTGTCTAGGTAACTGAGTAGAAAGTTAATGGAAGTGTTCAAGTAGAGGCTGGTTGTCCACCCCTTCAGGATGCTGGCAAGAGGGTCCTTGCATCGGGTACTTGGCTAGATGGTCAGAGGACCTTAAAGTCTCTAATGCTAATATTCCATGAGCTTATTCCAAAGAAATGAAAGTCTGGAGCCCCAACCAGAAAACAAAAGAAGGAGGAAAGGAATGCATGCAGTTAGTTTAAAATTGAAAATGTCATCCAGATTGTTTATCAACTAACAATGGACTTGCTATGTACTGGAGTCACTTTGGATTCATTCTGAATGTTTATGAAACATCAAACACAGCAAGTTGTTGATTCAGGTCATTCAGGGAAAGGGCCTAGTTGTAATTTGTCCCTGTATGGTCTTGGATGATCAGAGGTAAAAGGTGTGTTGGAATAGGATATGAGGAATTTTCTGATTAGACTGAAAATACAAAAATGCAATTTTGGGGCAATACAATTCAAACCTGCTTTAGATTGCAGTAGACAACCTTATAGCACTCCCCCAGCAATTCAGGGTAAGGAGACTGTAAGACACCAAGGAGAACTTGATTCATAGCATTGATTGGCACTGCCCTGTTGGCTAGTCCTTAGCCTTCCAATCAAGCAGTGACAGTACTACCACAGGTCAGGCCTAGCCCTACTATACCACCAATAGCTACTGCCTTTTGAATATTTCATTCATTTTCCTGAGGTTGGCCCATACCAAATTTGTCACTGAAAAGGAAAAGAAGATTCTCCAACTTAAGAGAATAGTCAAAGACTTGAAGTAGATAAAACACCAGATGTGAGACTAAGGTATTAATGCCTAAGTACACTTGGTTGTGTTTTGCCACCCCTTTCAGCCCCTACTTTCTCTGGTAGAGAAATTGGTGAAATGCCCAAAAAGGAGAAGGAAGAAGAAACTGTAAAACTAAGCAAAACCCATTAAGCAAAAACTCACTGACAAAATAAAACGCATTGGCCGTGTTGGGTTTGGACTAGTTTAACCTTTGACCTCTGGTTTTGTTTGCAATGATGTCATAGGGGTCTCATAGCAACAGGTGGACTCCCCAGAACAGCACTACTCTTGGGCCTACTTCCCTGGAGAAGAGATCACAAGAGAGATTTAAAGTCATGTTTTTTGTCTGAGATTTTATTTTGAGGGTCAACATCCCTCTTCTTTCCCATGATTTAAAAAAAGAGAAAACAATAATGGAGAAGGATACCTCATCCACATACAGGAGGCACCGACCTATCCCTGGAGCCCCTTCCTTGGGAATGGCATCTGGACATTTCAAAGTGGCCAACGAAGCAGCTCAACTTCAGAGGAGCAGGAGTGTGGGGGGTTTACACCAGAAGGGGGACCCTCCGAGCCGCATCAAGAAGTTGCAGAATGAGTTAGGTAAGAAAGTGGTTTCTTGTTTTGAGGGCAGGCATGCTTGGCCAGGCAAAGGAAGGAAGAGCCGACCCTAGAGACTCAAAAGGAACCCACTGGGGACTCCTCCCAGCTCTCACTTCCCCTTTGCTTAAAATTTTAACCTCAAAGAAGAGAGATCACCACCTCCCAAACAGAAAGCTTAAAACACTGATGGTAAGCTGGTCAAGTTTTTCTCATCTGGAAGTGACAGGACCAGCCTGGGACCTCTAGCCAGGCCGACTTGAGAGCAAGGGCTGATCTCTCAGCCACATCTGTATCTCACTGGTGGGTAACCCGGTTAGGAAGCTCTGTTGAAGCAGATAGAGAGGTATGTGAGGAAAGACAAAAGACATAAAAGGCAGAGACTTAGCGAGACCCTAGGAAGCCATCAAATATGTTAGAACAATTAATTACCTGAGGTCCAATTCTGTCCTCAAACACTTGAAGTTTCTTGAACTTATAATGAGCCTCTCAGGGCTGTAATTGTGCCTTTAAGACATGCCTCAATTCCTCTGCAGGGAACTACTGTGGAATTTCTACTGGCTCCCTGAATTAGCAATGAATTCTTGGCAGATGGTACCAGCCTATAATTATGCTTGATATTAATATGGTTTTTAAATTGCAAAATATATTGGCTTATACCTTATATCGGGAGCTCTGGTAGCATAGTGGCTAAGACACTTGCCTGCTAACCAGACGGCTGGCGGTTCAAACCCACCAGCCACTCCTCGGAAGGAAGGTTGGGCAATCCTACTTCCGTAGTGATACTGCCTCGGAAACCCAAGGAGGGGTCGCTATGAGTCGGGGCTGACTCGACGGCACATAACAACAACAACAACAACATACCTTATATCGGGTAGTGCTTGATACTCTAGTACATTTTTCAATATGTCAGATAGGGCCATTGTGTGGGTCAAAGTTTGAATCGGTGTTTAAAATCTCCTTGTCCCTCTAATAGAACTATGCTGTGATTATGCATACAGTCTCTCCCTCAAGTTAAGCAACTTACAGCACTTCATGGAACAATATGCCCCTGAGTCAGCTGAGAGAGAAACAGAGACACAGAAATGGTTAATGCAATCACGTGCCTAAGGCTGTAGTGCTAAAGGCCACTATCATCATTTTTTTTTTTTTTTTGGTTTCTTGGGGTCTCAATTAACCATGGAAGTTTCCATGCCAGCAAACTTCCATTTATGAGGTTGTCTGTAGGACCATGGAAATAAAACACAATATGTGGGAAATATGGCTTGCTTGTTTAAGCCTTAGGGAAGATTTTAACAGATAGTGGTATAAAAATCCAGAGGATCTGTTGTATAAGGAGGAAAATGGCGCTTGGAAGATGTAGGGTTTGGCCTTCATGTCACGTGGGTGTTGTCTTATTCTTCCCATCACCGTAAACCAGCACAGCCATGGTTTCTCCGGTTTCCTTGAGTTTTGCAAAGTTCTCAAAAGGAATTAACTTGATAATCACTTTAATTTCTAAGTTTCTTTAGGGGATATTTTCAGTCGGGGTGGAGGGGCATGTCTCAAAATTCAGTGATGCCCAGCTACTGAGTCATCCAAAAGTTTGGGACTCAAGGTGTTAGGAGTTGGAGGAAAGGCTAAATCCCATAATTCCTTAACATTTCCCATCTGGCACCTATTGGATTTTTCCTAAACCAGAGGAGAGATGGGAGAGGTGATGCTGAACAAAGACTGGGCTTGCACCCACCATATTGTACCACCAATGCTGGCAAACACTTCCACACTCGTGCACAGCAGTCCCCTTGAGGCACTAGAACCCTCAAAGTGGGTTTCCAGACCACATGCTGGTTGTAGATGGTCAACCTCCCCTTAGGGCTCTGTGGCCTTATAAGACAGCTGTGATATTGTAGGAAGGAGAACCAAGAGGACCAACCATCAGTGCTTTTTACTTATTAGCCACAAGACAAGGAGAAATCTTGCTTCCCACATCTTAAAATCAGAAGAGTAAAAGTTGCCTTGTAAATATTAATTAATCTTCTCAATGGATTCATTTTTTTCCTCCTTACGTATGTAATGAGCTTGTACAATATAACATTTTTGTTGAGCTTGGTGCTAGCTTATATCAAGAAATACTAAAATGAATAAGACATAGTGATGTTCAGAGTCAGGGAGATATTTATGTGAAAAGACTGCAGATAACTGCAACTATAAAAGTATGATAAGGTACAAAAGCTTTGCAGAATGGGAGTGATTAACTCATGCGGGGACATAAGGAGGTTGCCAGAGACAGTTTCCACAGAATATGACATCTAAGCTGAGTACTGGGAGACGAATGAGATTACAGAACACAAGCTTGGAAGGATGTTCTAGGAAAGGAAAAGCGAGAGCCAAAGCAAGAATCCTCTTGTGTTCTGGAATTATAAATGACCATGTTGTTGAACTCGTCTCATACCCTCAACACCGCACCAAACTCTCCTAGGCCTTTACACATGCTATTCTCTCTGCTGTAATGTCCACTTCTCATTTTTAATCCAATTCAGTTTTATCATTCAATTTTCTCCTAAAATATTACTTCCTCAAAAAGACTTCCATCACCATGCCATCTGCATTGAAGTTTACCTAGTGAATGTGCAAGAAGCCCTGGTGCATGGTAGTTAAAGTGCTCCATTAACTGAAAGGTTGATAGTTTGAACCCACCAGCTGCTCTGTGGGAGAAACAAGTAACAGCCTGCTCCCATTATAGCCTTGGAAGATTATAGCCTTTGAAATTCTACTTTGTTGTATAGGATTGCCATGAGTTGGAATCAACTCAATGGCAATTTGTTGTTGTTGTTGTTGTTTGCCGTTGAGTCGGCCCCGACTCATAGCGACCCCTCCTTGGGTTTCCGAGGCAGTATCACTACGGAAGTAGGATTGCCCAACCTTCCTTCTGAGGAGTGGCTGGTGGGTTTGAACCGCTTATGTGTTTATTTTGTTTGTGAATGCACGGCTACCAATTGTCCATCAGTAGAGACTTTTCTTGTTAATGATGCTGAACAGGTTTCAGCAGAGCTTCCAGACTAAGAGGAACTAGGAAGAAAGACCTGATGATCTATTTCTGAAAATCAACCAGTGAAAACCATATGGATCATAACGATGAGATCCCATTGTGTATATGGTCACCATGAGTTGGGGGCCAATTTGCCAACAATTAACAAAATCGACAATTGAAAGAAAAAAGGAAGGCGATTCAACAGAATGTAAAAATTATTGAACAATGTCATTAATATCAAAAACAAAACAAAACCAAACTCACTGCCGTCAAGACAGATCCGACTCATAGCGAACCTTTCCTGGGTTTCTGAGGTGATATCACTATGGAAGGGGCTCTGGTAGCATAGTGCCTAAGGCACTTGACTGCTAACCAAAAGGCTGGTGGTTCAAACCCACCAGCCACTTCTTGGAAGGAAGGTTGGGCAATCCTACTTCTGTAGTTATACTGCCTCAGAAACCCAAGGAGGGGTCGCTGTGAGTTGGGGCCGACTCGACGGCAAATAACAACAACAACAACATCACTATGGAAGTAAATTGCCCAACCTTCCTTCTGAGGAATGGCTGGTGAGTTTGAACCACCAGACTTCTGGTTAGCAGTCAAATGCCTTAGGCACTATGCCATCATAAAGTTAAAATTTGTTGAAGATAATTCCAAAATGGTTGCAATAATATACTGACAGGGAACTGCTAGAAATTCAAGCCAGATTTCCAGGAATATCACTGCTGATGTCAAATGGATCTTGTCTGAAAGCAAAGAATACCAGAAAAATGCTTACCTGTGTTTTATTGACTATGAAAGGTATTCCACTGTGTGGGTCATAACAAATTGTGGATAACATTGTGAAGAATGGGAATTCCAGAACACTTCATTGAACTCATTATTGTTGTTGTTGTTGTTATGTGCTGTTGAGTCGGAGCCGACTCATAGCGACCCTTCCTTGGGTTTTCGAGGCAGTATCACTACAGAAGTAGATTGCCCCATCTAAGGAACCTGTTAATCGAGGAACCTGTACATATAACAAGAGGCAGCTGTTTGAACAAAACAAGGGAACACTGAGTGACTTAAAACCAGGAAAAATCTGCATCAGGGTTGTATCTTTTCACCATACTTATTCAATCGGTATCCTAAGCAAATAATCTGAGAAACTGGACTATATGAAGAAAAACATAGCATCAGGACTGGAGGAAAATTCATTAACAATCTGTGATATGCAGATGACACAACTTTGCTCACTGAAAGTGAGGAAAACTTGAAGGACTTACGGATGATCATCAAAGACAACATCCTTCAGTATGAATTACACCTCAACATAAAGAAAACAAAAATCCTGTTTTTGGACCAATAAGTAACTTCATATAAAATACAAAAAATATTGAATTTGTCAAGAATTTCCGTTTACTTGGATTGATAATCAACACCCATGGAAACAGCATTCAAAAAATCAGATGATGTATTATGCTGGACAACTCTGCTGCAAAAGACTTCTTTAAAGTGATAAAGAACCAAGATGTCATGCCGCTGCCCCCCAAGTTTTTGCTGTGTTTCTTCCCTTTCCTCCCACCCCCTGGTAACCAACAAAGAAAGTTTCCTTCCATATATAAATCTTTCCTTGACTTTTCACAATAATGAACTGATAAAATATTTTTGCTCTTCTTTTTTGATGTATGCATTTATTGCTATAAATTGTCCTTCTGTGATTGACTTATTTCACTCAGCATAATGTCCTCCAAGTTCATCCATGTTATGCAGTGTTTTCCAGATTCCACATTATTCTTTAGTGTTGCATAGTATTCCATTGTGTGTATGTACCATAGTTGGCTTATCCATTCTTCTGTTGATGGGCATCTAGCTTATTTGCATCTTTTTGCTATTGTAAATAGTGCTAGGATGAATATGGGTATGCATATATCTGTTCTTGTCCTGGCTGTCACTTCTTTAGGATATATATCTAGTAATGGAATAGCTGGGTCAAATGATATTTTTAATT